TTGCTGGGATTTCTACCTCTGGAATGTAAACATCTCAATTATATTCTATATACTCTTCGATGATTTTCAAGATCTCTGGTTGTCCATATATAACATGTCGTTCTTTATTTTATAACTTGATACACAATTCTCATTCCCGTCTTCAACTTTCGTCTAAGAACTTTGAGGCGTTTGTTTTGTTCTATGTTATTAGTTGTTTTTTAGTGTTTAAGTTCTTATGTCTTTTCTGGTGGCTTTTAAAATGGTTTTGTTTAAATTACTTAGCTCTGAAATGTTCGTTGTGGGCTTATCTTTTATTTCCCTTCTTTTTTGCATTAGATTGCTTGTGTTTTCTGTGAGTTTTTCATTTGTCTTTGTTTGCTTTAGAGTACTGTCATCGAGCAAAAAGACAAAAGAGGGAATCTAATCCTTATTAAAAGGAGACCAAAAAAGTGGCCTCTGATGGCGGACATATCCGGAAATGCGAATGCGCCAAATTTAAATTTTCCGACACTTATTAACAGTAGGTATATAATATTTTTCAGAATTTGTCTTAGACTATAAAGTTTTAATTAATTATTAACGGTAATAGTCTAAAATGCGACACAATTGTTAAAAAACTTCAATATAAACTAAATTTGATGTCAAACAAGGAGAAAGACTCTCTTTCCTTGTTTAAAGTGGCCTTTAAGGATCTCACTTTCTGTCTAACAATATTTTTGCCCCCACTACCTTTACATTCCCTCTTTTGTCTTTTTGCTCGAGTGGCCTCTAAAGATCGCACTTTCTGTCTAACAATATTTTTGCCCCCACTACCTTTACATTCCCTCTTTTGTCTTTTTGCTCGATGGGTACTGTACCTGCTTTTGGGTGTCCACCGCTATTCAATATTGTTTTATTTTCCACATTTTTCTGTCGGTTACTCTCGATTTTTTCCTGGTATGTCCCTGTGTTAGTAATCGCAGTATCCTCCTCCTAAGTGCCTTCTCTATTGAGATTGGCGATCAATATGGCAAATTTCTCTCTGTTCTGGGCTTGATGGATTAAGTAATTTCCTGTTGTGTTAGTTCAATCTCTGATGTTTCGGAGCCAGGATTTCTTCTTTCTTCCTATACCCCTTTTCCCTCGATTTTGCCTTCTAATATTACCTGGAGCTGCTCAAATTCCTTATGGCGCATTATGTGTCCTAGATATGACGTCGTTCAAATTTTGATTGTATTAACCAGATGAGGTCGTGTGTTCATTATTTCAAGTACCTCTTCATTTGTAGTTTTGCTGGTCCAGCTTATTCTTAGCATTCTGCGGTACATCCACATTTCGAATGAATTCAGTTTGTTGACGTCATACTGTTTTAATGTCCAGGTCTCACAGCCATATAGTAGTAGAGACCACACTTTAGTGTTCTTAACCTTATTGTGATTGATAGCTTGGGGTTACAGAGCATTTTACGCATGTTCATGAAGCCAGATCTTGCTATTTCAATAAGTCTTCTAATTTCTTTTGAGTGGTCTAGCTGACTGTTTAGCTCTCTGCCCAGGTATATGAAGCTTTGGGAGCTCTGAAGGGTGATACTGATCGCAGTATGTGTGACATTTTTAGTCCTTCCATATTTCTTCTCTCCTTCTCTACGTTCAAGACAATATTCGCTCTAACTATTCTATGGTCACTTCCGGTTGAAAATTGATTTAACACTGTTGCCTCTTAATCAGCATCTTTTTATTGGTAAATATAAAGTAAATGTCGTAATTTATTTTCCCATTTGGTGATTACCGAGTCCACTTTCTTTGGGGGCTTTTTTTAAAAATGAATGTTCATAACATATAGCCTGTACTGCAGAAGAATTTCTATAAGACTTTGACCCCTTTCATTTCTATCGCCATATCCGTGAGGTTCAAGTACAAACTCTAAATCATCCTACTTGTAGCATATTTTGTCATCTAGGTATTACATCAGTATAATATAGTTAGTGGTTACTAAGGACTGCTATGGGACGATCAGCGATGCGATGCTTTGCTATGCGATTATATCAAAAACTTATATCTTAAGCGTCTTGTTCAACATAGCGCGCGATGCGATAGAAAAGGCTAAAGCAAATTTCAACAAAATGAGAAGAGTGCTATATACAAGGGATTTAAAATTGGAACTAAGAGTTAGATTGGCGAGATGCTATGTTTTTTCGACTCGATTTTATGAAATGGAATCTTGGACCTTGAATGCGACATCAATGAAAAAACTGGAATCATTCGAGCTGTGGGTTTATAGTAGAATTCTGAAAATATCGTGGACAGAACACGTCACAAACAAAGATGTTCTGAAAAGGATGAATAAAGAAATAGAAATTTTAAATACAATTAAAACAAGAAAATTGGAATATCTCGGACATATTAAACGTGGAGAGAAATACACCTTCCTCCAATTGATTATGCAGGGAAAGATCCAAGGAAGAAAAAGCATAGAAGAAGATGTGTAAAAATTAAAAATAATATTAGAATTATAAAATTAATGGGAAAAACACCGTAGTTGGCTGTATACCATCGTTTAAAAAAAACACAGAAGTTAAAACACTTCGCACATGTGTATTGTGGTATAAAAACAAACAAATATTTAAAACTATGAAAGTGTCGTCAACATTTAAGTTATGGCAGAACGTTTTCAATCTGAACAGATCATCTTCAGTGCCTTGTGTATTTGTTGCTAACAATAAAGTTGTCTATAAAACCTCCATGTATGGATTTACAGCATTCTAAATATTACATTTAATAATGTTTTGACTCCAGATCGATAACAATGGATAGATTTTTTAAAAATTACTTTAGGGACTACATGTCTCCCTGCTCGAATATTAACACGTGGTACTTGTTAATGGTAAGTCGTGGTAAGTCAATTACACCGGGTTAATTTTTCTATGCACACCACATAAACAACACTGGTTCCCTCTAAAACATGGCGGAACGTCTGCGCGAAGGAGATGCGCGTACTTAATTTTCCATGGAGAGTGGGCATTCTGATTTTTTATTATTCTGTGGTATAAGTGTGTGCCATGACTTGTCTACCGCCATTATTAGTTGTAATTTTGCCAGACAGGTGCCCACCTAACCGAACTTTGCTATCTACATTTTCGGTATTTAGTTTTATTACGTTTAACAACTTATTTGATATTCCAAATTATTGCTTGCATTTTAAAATGCCTTCTGTTTACGCTGTCGTAAGCCGATTTAAAATTAGCAAAGATATATAGGTAGCATATTCCTTCTTGATATTTTCCATAAGTTGTCCCAGTGTTGATGTTTGATCAATTGTTGGCTCTTCTGTCCGGAAATTAGATTATTATTTTCCTACTATATTTTTTGCTAAGATCTTAGTTCGGAATCGTTGGATGTAAGAGAATATTCTATAAACTGCATTTGGTAGACTGATCCTTCTCTAGTTGTGTTATTCAATATTTCACTCGTTTGGTAACTTGTTGTTTTCCAGATTTTTACTATCAGTTTATATAAATCTATAGTTAATTACTATTTAACTGGGAATAAGCCACAATTAAAGATAAAAATACGTTTATTGACGTTTCAATTTCCACTTCGGAAATTGTTCTCAAAATACAAACAGTAAATTAAACAAATTTTGTTTTTTGTTACATAGTGAAAAATTCTTCTAATAATTTAATTTTATCTGACTCATTTATATTGACAATTCAGACATACATTATGCATTTTAAAGTCGTCTATTTTAAAATGCATAATGTATGTCTGAATTGTCAATATAAATGAGTCAGATAAAATTAAATTATTAGAAGAATTTTTCACTATGTAACAAAAAACAAAATTTGTTTAATTTACTGTTTGTATTTTGAGAACGATTTCCGAAGTGGAAATTGAAACGTCAATAAACGTATTTTTATCTTTAATTGTGGCTTATTCCCAGTTAAATAGTAATTAATTTACAATGCCACAAGAAAATAGCTTCAAAATCTACAGTTTTTATAAACTTTTTAAAGTTCTGCTACTAAGTTGCCTGTTCTCGGGGATTTATTGTTAGTGAGTTTTTGTATTGTCTATCGATATTCAAAAGTCTTGCCAGGTGTCCAGTATATGTTTCTTGTTGGTTAATACAGTTCCGTCTGTTCTCTACTGAGGTCTTCGATATCTTTCAATTGTTTTGTAAGGTATTATTTAGAAGTATTATTTAAAACGAAAATAATATTTGTTTAATAGATTAAATTATTAAGGCAACATTCAGACATAAAAAAGTTTATTGTACAAAACAAATTTAACAAAACAAATTATATTAGTACTTAGAAATATTATAGCGATTTTCATTGTAAATAAATAATTTTCCTGATAATACGTATCTTTGCCATCTTTTTTAAGGGTATATGTTAATCACAGCGAGGCAGACACACCTTAGCACATTAACTGTCATTCCAATTTAGATGTAAAGTTTTTATAAACAAATCTAGCACTTTTTACAGTTAAAATAGTTAACAATATGTTGGTACTACATTGTAGATTTTTTTATTTAAATAATATCATACATAGATGTATATATATATATATATATATATATATATATATATATATATATATATATTATATATTTTGTGTATATGTCACGAAGTTTTCTTTTTCAGTAAAAGCTATCCCTTGGATAAATTTATGAATTTAATGGCCAAAATATATGGCGGAAGAGTAAAATTCGTTAAACCTTTCCTGTATGAATCGGTATCAATATTATGCTTATTTCCCACTTAAAGTGGATAGCTACACAAGTGTCATCTACTCTGTTCCATTCATTCGTACTATGTGTGAATTTGTATAGCCCGAGTCTATGACGACGCAAGGTTTATGGAGAAATACCGTTATAAAATTCTAGTCATACCGATTTATACAGGGAAGGTTGAAGGAATTGTTTTCTTGCGCCATGTATTTTGGCCTTTAAATTCACATATATATATATATATATATATATAATATATATATATATATATATATATATATATATATATATATATATATATATATTGCTCACTATCTCTTGTCGGCTATATGTCTCTTTTTCTTTTCCTGCTGAAAAAAGCACTTTTTTAAAATTGTGTAATTGATTATTATCTGAACACGCCATGTTATATTAATTGATTGGTCCGTATTTCATTTGTGATATTGATTTTTCCGCTTCTTATTTCCAGTAATTAATTTCCGTGGCTTTTAGTATTTTTGCCATTCGTTATTTGCATAGCCATCCTTCGCACCTATATATCACTATTTCAATACAGTACCACACATTGTCTTTTTTCTCATGTTGTTTATTATTCTTAAACACAAGACTCGGTTTAATATTGATATTACTTTTTCTCCTATTGTATTTTTCGTTTTTTGTTATTTCCATCCCCAAGTATTTGTACAATCTGTGTTTTGAAAAAGTTGTCTATTTTTTATAAATATTTTCATATTTATATATTTGTTATATTTATAGATTTTATAAATAAATAAACAACGTTGCAGGTGTTTATCATGGTATGGTGGTAGATAATTATATCAGTGGCAATCAGTTGGATGGCGTAACAAAATGGCCAGAAACTTACATCCCAAACAGATGTGTTCATACTCTGGAAAACATCAATATGTCAACGAGAAGTCATAAAGTATCGCAAATGATGAAACGCCTGAATGGAGATACGTCGAAAAATAATATAATCTCCAATGTCACTCTAAATGAGATAGCTCACCAATTCCTGAAAAAATAAGTAGCTAAATGTTGAAAGGCATGCTGAGTAAGAAAACTACGACCTGTCACAACGTCTCCTTTTACAATAGAAGAACTGAAAGAAGTCATTAAAAAATATAAAAATAGCAAAGCACCGAGGATGAATGGTATAATGGTGGAAGAAATATAAGTATATAATAAATATTTAGTATGACTAGTTATACTAAAACCAGGTAAAGAATCTTCTTCTTGCAGTACCGTCTCCTATCGGAGGTTGGCTACCATCACAGCAATCTTTACTTTGTTTTCTGCAGTTCTGAACAACTGTATTGAACTGCACCCATACCACTCCCTTAAATTTCGTAACCAGGAAATCCTCCTACGTCCCACATTTCGCTTTCCCGAGATTTTTCCTTGTATTGTGAGTCTAAGCAGATAGTACTTTTCTCCTCTCATTATGTGGCCCAGATATTCCAGTTGTTTCGTTCGTATGGTTCTTATGACTTCGCATTCCTTCCCCATCTTCAGCAGAACATCTTGATTTGTTACTCTTTCTGTCCATGATATTTTCCACTTTCTCCTGTAACACCACATCTCAAATGCCTCAATGTTTTTGATGTTTATCTTTTTCAGTGTCCACGATTCTATGCCGTACATCAGAACGGAGAAGAACGGTAAAGAAGCAACAAACTCAAAAAACTATGGCGAATCTCCTTGATTTGCCGCATGTATAAGATATTCGAAAAACTGTTGCTCAACCGACTAAGTACCATAGCTGAATCAGTATTTATTGGTATAGGCGAAGGACTTCGGAACAATCCCCTGCGTCGCGCTTGGTAAATTTACAAAATACTATCAGGAGAACTACCTAAAACCCAACGAAACTAAAACTGAGGTATCAGCTTCCCATCTGAGAAGTAGAGAGGTCCAAAGAAAACTGAGAGTTGCAAGGGAGGGAGTACAACTAGAACACACTTTCTACCCCAAATACCTAGGAGTTATCCTGGACCGTACTCTCGCATACAAAGTGCACTACACAAAAACAAAGAATAAAATATCTGCCCGTAAAAACATCATACGAAAGCTTACTGGAACTAAACCTCAGCCGTAGCCTATGTTACTCTGAAGCAGAATATGCTTTACCTAATGAGGCGCATCAACTATTCGGACATAAAACACCAAGAATACAACGGTGAAAGGATAAGCTGAGCCACCTATCCACAATGGGATCTTCCCACAAAGGACTTACACCACTTGGCGGAAACCTTAACTGGAAGGAATGGAAGAGCTTAAAATAGACTCAGAATCGAAGTGCGCAATACGAATGATAATATGCCTAGATGAAACTAACTCGGTGCCCCGTCCACCTTATGCAAACCAGAGAACCAGAAACATGCAACAGCTATACCAACTATACCAACATTTATACACCTGTTCAATATACACCTGTACATTGGAACACCTCTTGCTGCCGAAGGAAAATGCCATTAAAGTCGCCCAGTTTTGGCGAGATAAAGTTTAATATATTTAAACTCTTTGGTTTTGTTACATACATCATGTTTGTCTTATTTTATGTATGTGTTTTTTTATATAAATTAATTTCCAAATGGTGTAATGGTAATGACGCTTTTAAGACGAAATACATAAAATTAAATTAAAACATTACACTTTTTTATTTTTTCCTCGTAAATCTCTAGCAAGATATCTAGTTTGTAGTTTTGATTTTCGCACATCTATGAAGCATTCTCGGGATATTAGAGACTGTAGAGATTGACAAAATAATGAAAATTTAAAGTTGTTCTTATCATTAATTTATCTTTATCTATTCGGAGATACCTAATGAAAACGACAGAAAATTATGCATTTTAATAAATAACCTTAATTATAATGATTTAAGTAAAAAATATTCATAATGATCCAAAAATATACCACTATAAATTTATATTTATGTTAAATAAATTATCCTTACATGACTTTTGTTCTGTTCCGTTCTGTTTAAAGAAAAATGATCACTATACAGTATCTGATGGTTCTCCAACTCATTTTTGAGTCTTTAAAGGCTCTATGGATTTATAAAATTAAATCTGTGAGAATAACTTTTCTCTATTTTCGTAGGTAGAAATAAAAAAATATTTTCTTAATAATAGCATTTTAGGTTTGTCTATAATACACAAGATTTGTGATATTAATAAAAATACATATCGCACCTCTGTAAAAAGTATTAATACTCGTTTGCGATCCCTAAATTAACGGTGTTATACTAATATTCAATGCTATATAATGTAAACTATTGGATTTTTTAAGTCCTAAACTAATAAAGTGTGATAGACTTGAAATGAAACAATATTATAATAAACCTATATTTAAGAAAAACACAGGTAGCTTATAAAACTCTAGTTCTATAAATTGGAATGACAAAATTTTTCAATTACTTTAAACAATCGTACACTGATACCAACATCATCATTACTAGATCCGGTACACAAGCGCAGCATTAAATGCTCTGTAACTCTCTTAAAATTAAGATGAAAAGAGATCAACATAACTATGTTAAATCATCATTTAAATGCAATGGCACACAAGACTGCTAGACTGCTACTGAATTAATGGAATTTTCAGAACTATTTGTTGGAGGCGTTTCTAACGTAGCTATCTTTTGTTGCAAATTTTGAACCTAAAAAAAAATAAATATTAAGAACTATTATTATAAAATACACAACATTGACCTATTATTAAAGGTCAATTATTAATAATTTTGTAAAAGAACTATATAACCAAATAGAAATATTGTAAAATTATTTTTCATTTCCAAAAGACCTTTGAAATCATGCTCTAATATATCTTCAAAACTCAAAACGACGCAATGTCTCATTTAGAGTTTAAGAATGATGCTAATTCAAATCATTTTAATTCTAAATATTATATAGGTCCTTTGCGATATTCTGCCATTACGAATAGATGTTACTCAGCAACAACATTAGTGTAGAGCGTAAACTGTAATAGAAATTGTCAATTAGCAAAATCCTCAACTCCATTAAAATGTTACATTTTTAGGATTTAGCGTGCAGAAATACTATTGGAGTGTGTCACAAGTATAGATTAAATAATTTTGTTTGCAAAAATTACAACTTCTTTTCATGCTTGTGTTGGTTAGCATAGATCTAAAGCGTCTATCTTTTTATTCAGGTTTATACACAGATTCTTCAAAAATTGAAGTAATTTATCTGAATTCGGCAAAAATTTATTAACTTTTCTTTTTTTTTCAATTCACGAGAACTAAATTTATTTAATTTACCACTTATCAACTACATCACAATTACATCTCAATGTTCAGTTGGTAGTTGAAGTGTTTTGAACGCGCATACATGTTATTTAACCATGTCGTATCACGGGACTTCTGAGACCTAATGGAGATTCTTTAGTTAAATCCTCAATCTCAAAAAGAGCTCTTGTATGTTTGTTCACTAACATCCGAGAGTTATCAAATCTATTACACAGAATGCAGAATTCTAATTTTGTGCAGAAAAATCTATACTTGTATGATTTTTAATGCATCATCTTTTAAGCTTCACGCAAATAATGAAATTTTGTTATTATGAATCAACGCATCAAAAGTATCTTTAAACTCAATTCACTTCAAATAATTCGCATTAAAAACAGGCGACTGTATAGGAGGTAATTTGAAACCTTCTGATCCGGTATATTTATGGTTTCTATCCAACCTTTTCGACCCTGAACCGATGAATCAGAACATTTTCTTTTTAAAATTGTTTTTGCTCCAGACAAATTCTTTGAAAATCTAATAATAATCTATTGCCACTTTGTTGTAAGGAAAATACTTATGCACGATAAATAGGTAAAATAAATGAAACTAAGTAAATAACTGCAGAATTCTCACATTTAAATCATCAGTTCTGCGGCGTTGTAACTATTAAATCAGCAAATCTTCATAAACTGATTATCATCTAAATTAATACGGCTCGAAAGACCATATGAAGGCACTTGATATAATGGAATGTATTGAGTTTAATCAAAATCACTTTATTCAAACTAAATTAAATACAATTCTGGATAAAACAAAATTTACATTCTTGAATACTGTTGCCGCTTGACGGTTGAATTCCTTCTCTTTTAATGGTGGATCCTTCTCCTAATCCACTGACAATTTCCATGCGAGATAATATTAAACATAATTTTATAATTAAAAAGTTTTTTTCCAGCTATTGTTTTTTTCATTTTCTTTGACGGTCTAGGCTGCCATTCGGGATCTAATTCAGTGTCGGAGGTGAATTTTTGTGGAATAATGGTTGTTAGAATTGGCATCATTGAGCGTAATTCATCTTCAAATTTATTTTTTATACCATGATACCAATATATTGCCATGATGTTACTGCAGGTTTCACCAAAACATTTGAGATACACTTCATAGCATTTGAGGCCTGCTTTTCAGCAACCACACATAATTCCACAGTGATTGGTGATAAAATCGGAGATTGTGGAAACGGGTTGCATCTTGTGTTGGAGGAAGCGATGATAAGTTACAAGTATTTTTGGTCATTCTCTTGGCGAATCGTTTGTATCTCATGCTGTCCAGAGGACCATTTTTATTTCCACCATTAAAGAGATAAAAAATCGTTCGCCAAGGTCAATGATTAAAGATGACTCGACATCCTCACTGAGAAATATTGCTCTTCCCCTAACTAACTAGCTCATGTTGGTCGCCTCTTGAAATCGCATGAAGAAACAGCAAATTCTCTGCAACGATGTCGGTCGCCATATATAAAACTAGAAGGATGGTATAATTGATCCGACGTACATAGTTTTGAAGGTTAAAAAAAAAATAGATTGGACTGCCTCCTTCCTCATGCCGTGAGCAAGAATTTTATTGTCCTCTGCTACGATAGTCAGAGAATCATAGGGTTTTGATGCAGCAAGCACAGAACGGAGGATGACTATACCAACTATAATAGAGCAGTTTTGAGAAGGTCTATTAAGTTTGTTTTATTCTTTTCATTACCAAGAAATTTATCTTGGAATAATGTTGGTACGGTGCTCTTACCAAACTTTATCTCCATCGATTGGTGCTATTTCGTGCGACGCTAGCGCTCCCACGACTTTGTTCCTGCGATATCGGGGATTTCGGAGTAGCCATCAGATTATACTAGCAAATAGTCCACAGTGTTCTTCCTATCAAAAACTACTTTATGTATCACTGAAGTTCCTAGGAGAAATTATAATAATACCAGTAATAGCAGGCAGATGTTCATTTGCCCCAAAGCGGTAACTGGGGCATTTTCAATCTGCTTAGGATTCTTGTAAATGTATACTGATTGGAAATTATTGTAAAAACCAATGATATTCTAAGTTTTGTGGTGGGAGAAAGGGTGGATAAGAAAATTATAATAAGATAGGGATATTAAGAAAATGATAAATTATATGAATAAAAAATATATAATAGAAAACTAAGCCTTTAAGCCTAAAATTACTAAAGGAAAACTAATCTTATAATTTCTTTCCATAAGATGCACGTATAAAATGTAGACAAAATTGATGTTCAAGACTAGAGCAGTCTCTAGTCTTGAACTAGTAGAAAAAAAGTAAAAGAACAAATTCTTGAACACCAAAGATATGGAGCCGAGGCGTCAAAGAATAACGGGGAGAAAGACTAATTTAACGTATATGATCAACATGGATACTTTTCACACAAAGGACCCCGGCACTTTCCTTATGTAAAAGTGGTTTCAGTTAAATTAGCTGAAACTTTGCAGGGAGCTGCAAGATGCGCATGCTGATCAAAAGTAATCATTGTTCCAATACTTAATCCTTTTGAGTAATATCTACATATTTGTAAAGTATACAGAGTTCTAGTAAAGAATAGAATAGAATAGAATTTATTTAATCAATATACAAAAATAGTTTTGTTTTTGACAAGTCAAAGGAATAGTGACAATACTTATAAAACATATAAATTGTTTTTGGATAATTTAAACATTACAAACATGTATGTATTTAATATTAACAGTTAAAAAAAACGACAAACACACTTTGTGGAATTATAAAAAAACATGAAATATAATTATAATAGGCAACTGCCCTGACCAAACTAGTACTATTGTGTAAAAGCTGTACTTAAGTACTCCGTTTTTGAATAGAAACAATGTTTCAAAAAGTGTGATTTGATTTTATGCTTAAATGATAACAAGTGAAGACTTTTTACTTCATCTGGCAAAAAGTTATACAAACTAACGTCAGTCGAATTTTTTACGCTCTTTGTCAACCTAAAACGTTGTGCTCTAATAGCATCTCTAGATCTTGTATCGTGATCATGGACGTTGGAGTTTACGTTAAACTTACCTTTGTTGTAAATGGCTATGAGATAGTGCAAAGTAGCACATTCTAAGGGTATTTTTAGGAATCATATAAACTAAGTTGCGTATTAAAAATATACTTGTAGTAAGTCTAGAACTTAAGTAATCTATATGAGCACTCCAATCCAAATTATCGTCTATAAAGATTCCTAATAGTTTAACACTATTTCTTAAGATATACTTCCAATCAGAACTAAAAATCAAATTCTGATTTTTCTCTTCATTTAGCATTAGCCCATTATGTGAGAACCAGTTTTTTGCTTTCTTGGTATCACTATCTATTTTAATTTTTAAATTATTCTGATTAATATCAGTGTTTATGAGAGTTGTATCATCTGCGAAGCAAACACATTTTATAGGAAAAGTGTAGTGAAATAAATCGTTCAGATAAATAAGAAACAAAGTGGGTCCTAATATCGAACCTTGAGGTACACCATATTCGACAGTGTTAAACTCAGAATAGCTGTTATTAAGAAAAGCTGCCTGTTTTCTATTTGTTAGGTGTGATCTAAATAGATTAAGAGTGTTTCCCCTGATACCGTACTTATGCATTTTTTCCAACAGTAATTCATGCGAAACGCAGTCAAAAGCTTTGGATAAGTCACACAATGTCAAAGACACAAAATGACCTTCCTCCAAGCCATCAACTATATCTCTCACAATTTTCTGTATAGCTAGTGTAGTGCTACACTTTTTTCTAAAGCCATATTGGTTACAGTGAAGTATTTTGTGTTTTTCTAGATATTCTACCAAACGAACGTTTAGAATACTCTCAAAAATTTTGCCGAAAATGGGAATGATTGAGATGGGACGGTAATTTCCAATTTCATCTAAAGCTCCCTTTTTGAACACTGGTAGCACTTTTGTTACTTTTAAAACATCTGGGAAAATCCCCTCAGTAAGACAATTATTATAAAGTATAATTAATTTGTCAATAATAATATCGATTGTTTCCACAATTATTTTTTTGTTTAAGAAATAAAAATCCGTGCAGTGTGAATTTTTCAATCTATGCAAAACATTCCTGATTTCTGTATCACTAACAGGTAATAAAAATAAAGAGTTGCAAGGAGAGTGTACATCTTCCAAAAAAAACTATGGCTACATTTTCATTTGTAGAATTAAAAGAGCCAGTTTTTTCTTTAATGATATTGTTGATTTATAGTGCTTCTTAAATTTTTATACTCACTATATTCCTTTGTAACATCAGCAATTATCTTGACTGTGGAAAGATTTTTTCGCATTTCTATTAATTCATTATCAAACCAAGAAATTGGAGCTTTACTATGAGTTCGTGATTTTTTTA